CAGAACTTGAAACCACCATCAACAGTACCTGACAGATGTAGAAAACTCCGCCAAACAACAGAGATGCATTTTGTCTTTCAAGTGTCCATGAACTTCACCAACAAATGCCCACAGAATATATACCACAATAGACCATATTCTGGGCCATAAAACAAACCTTAAGTATTTCAAAGAACTGAAATCATACAAAGTATGTTCCCTGACTATAATAAAGTCACAGAAATCAATAAAGATAACCGGAAAATCTCTCAATGCTTGTATACTACAATACACTTCTAAATAATCCGTGGGTCAAAGAAAATATCTGAAAAGAAATACACATGAAACTGAATAAAAGTTAAAATACAACATACCAAAATACGTGAACACAGCTAAAGCAGTGCTGAGTGGGAGATTTATGGCACTTACCAGAAAAGAGTAAAGGTCTCAAATAAATAATCCAAATCTCTACCTCAAAACACTAGGAAAAAGAAAAAAGAGCAAATAAACCCAAAGGAGGGAGAAGGAAGGACAGAAATACATGATATTGAAAACAGGAAAGCCATAAAGAAAAGTTAATGAAATAAAAAGCTGGATCTTCAGAGGAAAAAAAAATCAATAAAAGTGATAAGCCTCGAAGGAGATGACAAAAATAAAAGACACCAGGAAATAAACAGAAGACAGGCCTCTCTCCATTCTCATTCAACTTAATACTGGGAGTTCTAGCCACTGCAGTAAGGCAAGAAAAAAGAAAGAAAGCACACCTACCGGGAAAGAAGAAATAAAACTGTCCCTTTTTGCAGATAACATGATGATCCACAGAGAAGATCCCAAGGAATCTATCTTTGGCAAGCCCTTGGAACTATTACGTGTTTTCGGTAAGGTTACAGGACACAAAATCAAGACACAAATATTAACTGTATTGCTGTATAAGAACAAGGAGCGTGTGGAAACTGAAAATAAAAGCCCTGTATCATTTCCAATTGCTCTAAGGTAAACAAGTTACTTAGTACACACTTCAAACACATACCAGATCTGTATGCTGATAATTGCAAAATGCCGATAAAGAAATAAAAAAAAGACTGAAATAAAGACATACCACATTCATGGATCAGAAGACTCAACATAGTAGAGAGATCAATTCTCCCCAAAACGATTTATAGGTTTAACACAACTGCTATCAAAATCCCGGCAAGATATTTTTTATAGATCCAAACAAGTTTATTCTAAGGCACACATGGAAAGCGGCAGACCTTGGAATAGCTAAAACAATCCTGAAAAAAGGAAATGAAGTGGGAGAAACCACTCTATCTGATATTAAGGTCTACTGCGTAGCTACAGTAATCAACGGAATGGGGTAATGGCAGAAGGAGACATACAGATCAGTGGAACGGAATGGAGAACCCAGAAATAGGTCCACACAACATGCCCAACTGATTTCTGACGAAATTGCAAAAGCAATTCAAAGGAAGGACAGCCTTTTCAACAGATGGTGTTGGAACAATTAAGCATTCAAGGCAAAGAAACAACAAAAAACAAAACACTTCCATCCAAGCCTCACACATTTTCATGGGATAATTAACTCAAAATGGATCAGGGCCTCAAATGTAAAATGTAAAACTACCAAACTTTTAGGAAAACAAAACAAAACAGAAATCTTGGGATCTAGAGGTAGGCAGAGTTCTTGGCTTTGATACCAAAAGCATTATGTATAAAACGCGAAAACTGATAAACTAGCTTCATCAGAAAAAGTTCTGCTCTATGAAAGACCTTTTTAAGAGGATGGAAGGGAAAGCTACAGACGGAGAAAATAGCTGCAAACCATCATGTGGGACAAATGAGTATCTAAAATGTGTAAAAAACTCTCCAAACATTCACCAACAATAAAACACAATAAATAACAAACCATAAAAAATAAGCAACCTCACTGGAAAACAGGTTAAAAAAAAAAAAAAAAACCACCAAGAGATACTACATCAAAGAGGATACACGGACAGCAAATGCCGGTGAGGATATAGAGAACCTGAGCCATTCAGACACCACTGGGGGCAATGTGAAAGGGGACAGGCACTCCAAAAAGTCCGCAGTTTCCTATCACATTAACCACACAATTACCATATGACTGAGCACTTATCCCAGATACATAAAGATGTGTGTACAAACAAAAACATGTACGTGAAAGTGCAGAGCACATTTGTTCATAACAGGCAGAGAACTGGATCAATCCAGAGGCCTTCAATAGGTGAACGGTTACATGGTGGGCTGTGGTGAATCCAGACCAAGGACGCTACTCGGCAAACAGCAGGCACAAACTATTGATTTCCAACACACACAATGACATGGGTGATTCTCCAGCAAATGATGTGGAATGATAAAGAGCTACTATTCTGCATGGCTCCACTTATACAATATTCTCGAAGGTATAAACTTGTATTATTGGAGAATTGATTAGCTATTGCCACGGTCAGGGAGGGGCGGAAGGGAGTGGCCAGGAAAGGCGACTTAAGGGATCGTTGATGGGGACGGGCATATTCCGCATCCTGACTTTCACATTGTGGGTATCTTTGGTTGTGACGCTACGTCACAGTTTTGCAAGATATTACCAGGGGAGGTAACTGGGTAGAGGCCATGTGGGCTCTCTGTATTACTTCTTAAAACACAACGGGACTCCACAATTATCCCAAAATTAAAGTTAAAAAAAAATTAAAATGACCAAGTTTGGTTCACAGCTCTGTCACCTGCTAAGTAGGAAGTTGACCTTGAACAGATGGTAAACTCCCCAGCCTCAATTTTCTCACTGGCCAACTGGGACAATACCATCTGAAGCCTGATAAAAACTGAAAGTCATTTACGAGGGACCTGGCAACGTGCAGGTCACGCGGTACTTCCAAAACAGCCCGTTAACACTAAATCTATGCAGAGACACAAATAGTATTCTAAACCCTATCATTCAAACATCCACTACTGACTGCAGTCACTACCAACTAATTAATTTAAAAGGTCTCTTCCCAAAGTGATCAGTCAAAACGAGGTGTGGGGGAGGAGAAGAATTTTCGGTTTTACACTGAAAGAAGAATTCCTAACTGGCTACTGAAATAGTCACCTCAGATAAAGTGAGTTTAAAATGGAGCTATACTTAGTAAAAAGTCGGGAAGGAAAAGTGGATACTGGCTAACAAATCTCGGTTCTGTTGGTAAGGAACTCAGAAGAGGTTAACGTTTGTGCACACTGGGAGAAGGTTAGACTGAATTTTCTAAAATGCACTCAACACAGTGATTTAGATTTAAGATTCTACGTTTCTAAAAATTTTTCTCCAGCTCCAGAGTTTAGAAGGAAGTGGGAGAGAGTCAGCCAAATCCTTATACTTCTATACCTGCCTGCTTTGACGGTTCAGAAAAGCAGCAAAACTACAATCTGGCTCTGTGATAAAGACAATGAAATGCACTTTACCCCAGAAGATGAGGGGAATTTTAACCATGCAGTGTATCCCCGTGAATCACACTGGGCTCCTGGCCTTTAAAGTTGATGAAGTACTGCCCAGAGCCAACTCACAGAGGCTTTTGAAAGAGGTAAAAAAGGAAGGAGTGTTTTATCATTCAAATTATTCTCTTCCCGTCATTCCCATCAAGACCCTAAAAGAGCCTTTTCTATAAACATGAAAGATTTTAATAACAAATACAGAAAGTGGGAATACCAGGCCAAGCCTGGAGGGGAGGGCTGGAGGGTTAGAGCCTGAGGGGGTAGACTCGACTCACTTACCCCCAAGGCCTGGAACTTCTTCCTTGTGGGTGAAATGACAGGCCCCAGATGGGCTTCTACAGCCCTGTGCTACATTTAAAGTCACCGGGGCCACCGTGAAATATAGTCTCCAGACAGCTGTCCGGTATGACAAACCCTCCTCTACCTCTGCTTTGAGACATACCTGTAATTTGCTTTCCCCAAAATGAGGCTGGGAGAGAGGAGGTGAGAGGCTAGTGAGAAAGGGCTAGCGAGAAAGTAAAAGTAAGTACATAAACAAACTCCCAAATGACTCTAAGTGCAGAGAGAATCTACCTTGGGCTGCTCATGGTCAGTTTTCTCCAGATTTCCTTTCCTTGGGGTCCTTGAGCACAGCCTCACAGCAGAGACTAAAATCCAGACTTCTCAACTGTACAGCTTTCCTGTTTTTTCCTCAAACTGCCAAGAATAGGACGAGCAGGGTGTAGGAGAGCCAGACCATCACACACACCACTTTGGAGATCCATTAAAAGTTGCAAAGCAAGAAATTCATTTGTGCCCTCGTGCAAACAAACAGGGCAGTTACAGGGCAACGAAGGGGCATGTGAACACAGGCTGGGTTACCCGAGGATATCGAGCAAGGCGTCAGTAACTCGGAGGCTTGATAAGAGTACCGCGGTTGTTTTTAAAACGAGGCCTTCTCTTTCAGCGACATACACTAAGACTCTTCCTAACGAAGTTTCTACGCCGTCTGGGGTTTATTTCCAACCCCACGGCAGGGGCAGAGGCGAACCAAGCGCTAGGGCTGGGGGAGGGGGCGTGGGCACACACACTTCGCTCCATTCCCCGTACTTTGTGTGCGCGTTAAGTTCTAACAAGCAATTGCAAAGAAGAGCCCCGCGGCCGGCTTGTTCCCCAGTCTACACCGCTCTTCTGCCCATACGGGGAGGGCAGGGCGAGGACGGCTCCCAGACCCCGGGAGCCTGGCTGCGGGAGGCGCCCAGGGCAGTCCTACAAGGGCGCGTCCCGGCGCTGCGTCCAAGAGCCGCCCGCCCACCGTCCCCGTCCCCCGAAGCCGGCCAGCTTTTCCGCGTCTCGGCCCCCCGGCCTCCCGAGATGGGCAGGGGCGCAGGCCATCATCGCGCTACGGCGGCGAAGGGGTGAGCATCCCCGGCCAGAACACCCCCCTACACTCACTCCTCCTCCCAAAACCGGGGCCACCCACTGCCGGACAGGGCGCCGGGGCCCGCACCTGCGCGCACCTGGGCGCAGGTGCGCGGGCGGAGACGCGGAGGCGCGCGCACCTTGAGGATGTTGTCGAAGATGGTGTCGCGGAACTCGAGCAGCGCCTTCTGGTCGAACTCGCGGCCGTGGATGATGCGCATCTGCTTGAGGAAGGTGGACTTGCCGCTCTCGCCCGCGCCCAGCAGCAGGATCTTGACGAGGCGCCGCACGGCGCGCCGCTCGCGGGCCAGCCCCGCGTCGATGTCCCGGCTGCGCCGCCGCGCCTCGCGCTCCGCGTCGCGGGCCCCGCTGCCGCCCGCCCTGCGCTCGCGGGCCCCGCCGGCCTCGGCCGGCAGCAGGCAGCGGCTGAGGGTCCGCACCACGCCGGACATGGCCGCTCAGGCCATGGACCCCGCCGCGGGCGAGGCGAGCCCCGCGCGGCAGCCGGCCGCTCCCTCAGGCCGCGTCCGTCCGCCGCCGCCCCGAGGCCCGCTCTCGCCCGCCGCTCGGCTCCGGCGAAGGGGCGGGGCGGCGCGGCCGGGACCCGGCGATTGGGCCGGCCGCCGTCCGTCCGGGAGAACGCGCCCCCCCATTGGGCTGTGCGGCGACGGGAGGCGGGCGTCCCTCGGGCCCTCGGGGCGGGGTCGGCGCCGAAAGAGGCGGGATCTTTGGGGTGGGGGCGCTTCTCATTGGGCGTCTGGGTTGAGGTTCTTTCTTTCAGAATGAAAGGGAGGCGGGGTCGCCGGGAGGCGGAGCGGCCGTCCGCCATGACCAATTATAATTGCTCCGGGGTGATGTCAATCACAACGAACGGGCTTGGGATTGGGGGATCGGCGAAATGGGGCGGGACCAGAAGTGCCAGGTGTACAGATAGAGTCTCCCGGAGTTTCCAGATTGGGTCAACCTGTGAGACCAGGAGACTCGTTAAATGGACTTCACGTTGTCCGAAAACGCAGATAGGAGGTGCAGCTGCTCGTTTTATGTTTGCAGACAAAGCCGTTCCTAAACCATATTCCTTCCAGTAACACGAGGAGGGGGGTCGCGCACAGAGTTTCAAACAAATGCACCCTTTCAGAGTGGCATGACCTCTGGGCGTCTGTCTTCTGTAAAAGCTGGCTTATCATACAAATCAGAAGCCCCACGAAAAAGTCTTACGTAACACAATGATGGAGAGTGGGTTTTGCAATTGCTGGGTCTGAGGTGGAATCTCAGCTCAATCCCTTACTAGTTGCATAGCCTTTTGGGCAGCTCCCCCTCCCCCGCCACACACCCCGTTTTTAGCTTCAATCTCTGTAAAATGGGGCGATGATAGCAACTACCTCACAGTTATGAAGATATGAACAGAGAACATGGACTTGCGAAACACTTACCATGCTGCCAAGACCCCAGCAAGTTCTTGCTAAGAGTTAGCTGATCTTATTAGAGAATCTTACCTATCCCAGATGAAGCGTGAGTCAGGATCCCTGGAAGGAGTTCAGGTATCTATCTCCAGGTGACTGGCCAGATCAGGGAACCATGGCACGTTAAAAGATAAACTGAGGTATATTAAAACTTTAAAGAATTTGCAGTATTTGAGGGCGCCTGGGTGGCTCAGTCTGTTGGGCCTCCGACTTTGGCTCAGGTCATGATCTCATAGTTTGTGACTTCGAGCCCCACAACCGGCTCTGTGCTGACAGCTCAGAGCCTGGAGGCTGCTTCTGATTCTGTGTCTCCCTCCCTCTCTGCCCCTCCCCCACGTATGCTCTGTCTCTGTCTCTCAATAATAAATAACTGTTAAAAAAAAAAAAAAGAGTTTGCAGTATTTGAAACTGATTCATATTGAGGAGCCAAAGCAGACGTGGTTACTACTCCCCAGAGTGGGGTCAGAGAAAAAGACTTATACAGAGAAAATGCCAGGAGAAAAGAAAGGAAAGTGATTGGCTATAGCTTAAAGGCTAGTTGGCTGTTTGTGATTGGTTATGTTTAGGGTCTTGATTTTGTAACCTTGAGGCTTTGATCTTTGGCTTGCTTTCCTAAGCCACCAGCACTGCATTAAAGCCACTTCAGCACTGAGTGTTATGTGGAAACTAATTTGACAATAAACTATTTGTAAAATAAATAAATAAATAAATAAATAAATAAATAAAGCCACTTCAGTCTAATGGCCTCCTTGTTAAACTAATTTAGCAAGTCTTAAAGATCAACCTGTCCAAACTGCCCCTCTCGTCAGGTGGATAAAATAAAAGCCAGCTTGCAAACAACTTACCTCACTGTATCACTCTCTCTGATTAGAGAGGGATGAGTGGTAGAAAAAGTGATTTGTGAATGTTGTGTCATCTGGTTCTACAAATAATGTTAGCACACTTAGGAGAACACCAGGCACTGGGGACTTTGGGAGAGAAAGCTGAAGATGGAAAAGATGCATTCTTTGTGTCAAGACTTTCACCTAAGTTAGGGAGTTCAAGTCACTGAGCACGAGGAACACTAAAGGACTCCCTAGTTTCAGCCACAGGACCAGGGTCTTCAAGGGTCTAAACTCTCCAGGGACCTTGAGTGCTGATGGATATGTAGCATGTCATTTATTGAGGCATGAATTTGTATCACTTAGGAGTCAACATATTATCTAGTACTCTGTCGTCCTTCAAAAATGATGAAGAAGAAAGTCTTGTTTTTTTGTGAAAATGCCCTTCCACAGAAAGACACACACGAGTGTTATAATAGAAGTGGAAAGTAGGAGGCCTCAGAGAGCAACGTGTCTTAAAAAGAAAATGGGAATTTTGAACAATTAAAGAGGAAAATGTAGATTTCAGCAGTGGACCAGTTAGCTCTTCGTTCAGTTAAAAGAAATTATGAAAAGGCAAAACACTTTGAGCAAGTGATCCAGACAACATTTACAAACAACTTTATATTTTTATAAATAACTTTATGTCTGGGGCTCCTGGGTGGCTCGGTCGGTTAAGTGTCTAACTTTGGCTCCAGTCATGATCTTGTTTGTGGTTCGTGAGTTTGAGCCCCGTGTTGGACTCTGCACTGACAGTGTGGAGCCTGCTTCGTATTCTGTGTCTCCCTCTCTCTCTGCCCCTCCCCAGCTTACACTCTCCTTCTCTCAAAAAGAAATAAACATTAAAAATTTTTAAAAATAAATAACTTTATGTCTGTGTTGATGCAATTATTATGTGGTGTCCAACCTGGGGATTGGACAAGGTTTCTGGACATATCCTTTAGATTTGTCATAGGGTTCATGTGCTTGAAGTAAGCAAGCTTATCTGAGTGCTTAAGAATAATCTCTTAATTATCCCCTACATTTGCATGACCAGTCATGGTTTTTGGAGTGCTTCCTCATTTGTCCTCTGAACACTGCTGGGAGGGAGGCAAGGCAGAGATTATGGTGACAGAAGGATCTGGATCCCAGGAAGTTAATGTCACGTGTCAGAGGAAGCACAATTAGTAAATTACAGAAGCAGGATTAGAAACCTGACCCAGTATATTCCCTAGGCACAATATGAAATGGATGAAAGCTCGACTCTACCACTTACTAGCTGTGTGACCTTGACCAGCTCACTTAACCTCTCTGAGACTTACTTTCCTTACATGTAATATCAGGAAAAAATAGGGCTGTGATAAATGTGAAACAAGTTAACACACAAAAGGCGCTAATACATAACAGGAATTCTGTAATTTCTAACATTATCGTTATTATAATAACGATCAAGTACTACAAATTTATATATTATACAAATTTATATATAAATATAAATTATATATTATTTATATATTATACAAATTTATAATAATAATACTGGCATGATGATGAAGACTGCATAAGCACAAGGTACTGCATGATATTAAAATGCAAAACCTGGAGAAATGTCAGGTTAAATAAATTAAGGTGCAGTCTTATAGACAAAATAACATACTGATCCTAAAAGAGAATAAGCAAGACCCAAATTTGTAAACAGATGGCCTCCATGTGTTTAAAAATTGGTAGGGGGTGGGATAGGTGGCCTCAATCCTCCTACTTTATGTTCAATTCTACCTCCTGAGCTAAGGGGCAGCCAGGAGGGAGGGTCCAATGGCAGGGTCTGGAATGCATATGTGGAATAGTGAGCTCTTCTGGAATCTTCTAGAAAAGAAAATGGCCACAGGACTCTCATTTCCAGCTGGGTGGGAGTGAGGAGCAGCTCCAAGGCCTGGGACAAGGCCAAGAGCTCTGTGGTTCCCAAAAGGAATAAAATCCCCTCGGGTCCCCTGAATGCAGTCCTCTGTGAGGGCTTCTCTAGAGTGGGGAGAATGTGAGATGAACGCATGGGCAAGGGGGCCGACAGATTTTCCCTGCGTCTGAGAATGGGAGCTGGTCACCAACGACAACTGCTGAAACATGGGAGCTTCCTCTCTGTGCTCATCAGAGGAGCCACAGTTTGCCTGCTACCTCATCTCTCATTGCTACAAAAAGGGACCCAAAGAGCTTTCTCTGAAAGTCAAAGAGCTCTGAGTAGGAAAAAGAGCCTGAAGAGGCTTTAAAGGGATCCAGGTGCCAGAGAGAAGAAACAGAACATCTCAACTAATGGTAAATAGATGAAAACCTTACATCATCACCATCACCATCACTACCATCACCATCATCACCACTATCACCATAATCATCACCACCAACTCCATTGCCATCACCATCACTACCATCACCATCATCACCACTATAATCATAATCATCACCACCAACACCACTGTCATCACCATCACCACCATCACAACCAACACCATCACAACCATCACCACCAACACCATTGCCATCATCACCACCATCGTCACCATCACTACCATCACCATCGTCACCATCACCATCATCACAATCATCACCACCAACACCATTGCCATCATCACAACCATCAGCATCGCCACCATCAGCATCACCACCATCACAATCGTCACCATCAACACCATTGCCATCATCACCACCATCACCACCATCACCATCACCACCATCATTCCACCTTAGGAGAACTGTTCAGGGTATAAAATGGCATTGCACAACATCAATAAATGATTATGGTAACCATTGAGAACTTCTGAAAACAAGACAAGAGAACTGGAAGATAAAATGAAAGAAATACCTCAAAACTCAGAGGAAAAGTACAAAGAGATGAAAATCATGAGAGGAAGAACGGGAGACTTACACGGGAATGCTAAGATTCTGGAAGGACAGGGGAAAGAGATGGAAGAGAAGTAATAAAGAGACTTCTTTTCTGACAATATGGTAGACCAAATACTCAGACCAATGTTTCTACAGCAACAATTAAAAATGCCTTATTAACTATTCAAAACCTTTTTAAAATATTTATTTACTTATTTTGGGGGAGAGCGAGTAAAAGAGAGGAGGGAGGGGCAGAGACAGAGGGAGAGAATCCCAAGCAGACTCCATGCTTAGCGTGGAGCCCAACGTGGGGCTCAATCTCATGGCTGTGAAATCATAACCTGAGCTGAAACCAAGAGTTAGATGCTTAACCAACTGAGCCACCCAGC